CAGAGCTCAAGGAAATTGCCTTTCTCTCAAGAAATGGGCATTTCTTCTTCTTCTTCTTCTTTTTTTTTTTTTTTTCTTTTTTTTGCCGAGGTGAAATTCACTTATCCATCTACTACCCAATCGCCTCCCTTCAAAGCCCCCTTAAGCAGTCTGCCTAAACCCACAGAGTGTTCTCACATAGTTTTTCTTTTGAATAGAATGAAATGAATCCTCATGGGGCAAAAAAATCGTTTGAGAGCAAAGATGGATGACAAGAAAAAAACCAGTAGGTGCATTGGGAAGTCCCCCTAACAGCTTGCTGCTGGGTATGTAAATCGCCCTCTTTTTGTTATATTTTTTCTTCAGTTTGATAATATTTGCTTTACCACAGGGGTTCCAGAAGAAGAGCTGTCATTAGTTGGTAACGACGCAGTAATGAAGACGGTAAAGCGCGTCGGGTGTAGTGGCGCGTGGACAAAAGGGAATAACCGGCTTCAAGAAGCTCCTGAATGCTCGAGGTGCTCAATGTTTAAATCTTATCCTTATATCTACACGCTGTAATCTTCTACTAGTACAAGGTAAAAACATTGCGTGCATTTTCGAGCTTTATATTGAATGGCTGGTAAGTTATTGCAGATACATTTTGGTCTGTGATACTGCGGATGAGAGATTTCATCTGTTTGCTTCAGGCTTAATCACCTGATTGGCAGTGACTTAAGGGGCATATATACTAAAACTATTTAAGATTTTAAACACTGGGAGAAGTGTTCGGGGGGGGGGGGGCTGCTTTGGCTTTTTTACCTTTAGTAATGCATAACTGCATACTGGCTTTACACCCACTGAAACATCCAAACAAAACCCAAAAATGTGAATTAAAATGGAACGTTTTATGTTATCTTTTAGTTAGTTGAGCAATAACATAAGAGGCCGTGATTTTAATGATACAACCAACTGGATAGTCCGAAAGGAGATAAAAGGAATTACATAAATAAAAAAAAATGAATAATCAAAAGTTCCCAAAGGAGATTAAAGCATAAAAACCTCCCCCACACCTTTTTATCCGTCTCTGATACGTTGCTGAGCGACAGAGAAGCACCTGCGCAGCGAGCTGGTCGGCTGCGATCCCCCCCCCCCCCTTCCCCCTCCCCCCTCGGCCACGACGCCCAACTCTTTCAGTGTTCCCGACATCCACGGAAAACACCCGGCACCTCGCCGTCGCCTTCCTACCCCGAGTCACTTGCTACCCACCAAGGGTGGGGGGTCAGCCGCTACGTCCGGCCCCCCGCGCCATCTGTTGGGGGGGGGGGGGGCAGTCGATGTTTGGCCTTCGCCAACGCTGAAGTCTCCCTTCGGGGAGGCTTATTTGCATTCTTGTTTTAAAAAGGATCCGGCTTGGAGGACCCCCTGGGGATCCGAACCAGACAAGAAAGGAGCCGAGCCGGATGGAACCAGCACGGTAATGGTGGCACTTTACCCCACCTCCTAGCCCCCCGGATTAGAAACACCGCCCCCGGAAGAGGACGGCGGGGTTTACCACACAATGGGTAATAATCCACGGGCCCTCCGTACAGGGGACACCCGGCCTCTAAGTGAGCGCTAATGGGGGGTGTGGAGGGGGGAGGATGCAAAGTCACATTCACAGGTCATTTAATCTCTTTGTTTTGCAATGGGCTGGGCCTCCGGTGCTGTTTTTCCGCCTTGCTCTCTCAAACAGAGGCAGAGAGAGAGAGGGAGCAGGGAGATATCGCCCCCTCCACCCCCCCCCCCCCCCCCTCCCCCCCGCCTCCGTTCACAAATGAACAATTCTCATCTGCCTCCAAGAATCTCCTTCCTCATGCATTTGCCGGCTGGTTCTGTAACGCTTGCAGTGATTCCAGGATTTAATGTGCGCGTTCTGAGGAGGAGCATTCTTCTTCTTTTCTTAACACACACACACACACAGTTTCATTATCTGAAATGCCTTTTCTATTCGGCGCCACGTAGCATCTGACCTTGAGTCTGCCGACCCGAGTCCGCACTTGAGATCCGCGCTCGTTCCCGAAGCCGGCTCCGGGATGTAAGCCGCGTCGGTTGCGCACTTTGCAGCCCGTGCACCGGCTCGCCCGGTGGATTACACGGCAGTCAAGGTAAATCATGGGCGGCTTAGACTTCCATCCCAGTAATCTGGATAGCGGTAAACACCGCCGGCCTTATGCGTGTCCGTTTGTGTATGATTACAGTCCTGTGTTAAAAGCCGACCGAGGCTGGTGGGCCGAGGGCAAAAGAGGGCAGGAGAAGGGGGTGGGTGGGGGTAGGGGGGGGGTGTCTGCGCCTTTAACCCCCCCCCACCCCTCCATCAGTACCATTCATCACCTCGTATCACATGTGCCATGTTTTCCCACTCCCCAGCTGGAGTGCTTTCAAGCTGTATAATGCGAGATGACAGGATGAAACCAGAGGTGGAGTGATACGCGGTTTGCAGCAAACTGACCTGCTGAAACTCGCTGTTTTGTGTCGTGTTGTTTTGAGAGGACTTTATTTATTTACCAGAAGGTCTCCTTCTATCTGCTCAGTCACTCTCGTCAGTTTCCCCCCCCCCCCCCCCGCTTACTTACTCGTTAAGCTGTGTTTCTCCACTGAACATTCCTTTTTATTGCGTTTCATGAGCAATACGGAATTGTGAATAGCGACACTGTAAAAACAAAATGCCACCCGTGTCAGACTTAAGGAAGCTGCGTTCCTGCCGCTTAGACTCCACCGCCGAAAGCGCCGTCTCGCGAGCTTCGCTGTCAAACCAGCCTTCCGGCGAGCTCGAGGCAGCCGTTTGTATCCTCATCGCCTCCAAGCCACTCGACAAACACTATTGATGTTGCTCCTGCACACAGCGGGTGGCCCCACGTCGAGAACGGGTCCCACGCCGAGCCGGCAGCGGCGTCCAGGCAGAGCACGCGCCGGCTTCCTCCGGGACGAGCCGGGCCGGGGCTTCCCGAGGCGGGACGCATCGATCGCTGATTCTGTAGCAACAGAGAGGGACTTTTAGCATGCAGAGGGAGGTCTTCCAACAGGTATTCCTACATTATGCTCACGACAAAAGGGGGGTTCTCTGCTTATTATTGCTGCGTATTGACTTCATACTCAAATGGACACAGAGCGTTGGGCCCTTGATACGGCATATGTATCTACAACACAAGAAAATAAGCCAGGTTAAGACACGTTTCACCTGCAACGTAACGAAAAAAAAAGAATGCACATAAATAAAT